AATTGCAACTTTAGGGGTATCCCCATTTTCAGCCCCCTATAGTAATCTTATGTAACCTTGATCCCCCCTTGGGTGCTATGCTGCCCGGCTGGAACGGCTCACCCCAGCCTTCGACATCTTTCCATGGGCGCTGTTACTATGCAACCGCTGTTCCTGGTGATATGTGGTGATTACACTTTGCTTGAAAAAGGCCATCTCGGAGATTCCGGAACGAAAGCGGCAGATGTAGAATTGTGATGAATGGCAGAAAGCAGCAATTTATCCTAAACAGAATATGAAAGTAGTTGCTAGCTTGTCTAGTTTTGCTTTCGCCACAGCTTGGATTTTTCAACAGGAAGATCTGGAAGTCTCACAGCATCCAGTTGCACATTGGTGTTCCGTTTGGGTCAAGCTCAATACTGTGATGTCAATCAAGGATATCAGAGTCAACGTTTACAACGGGTGATCTTGCAAAGGTCAAATTTCCCGCAGCTCTCATTCACTAGCAGCATCTAGCAGCTAGCAACTATTCAAATCATTTCAGATCCACTTTGCACGTAATTTGCTGTGGCCGTAGATCTCAACAACTCAATGTTCTGATTCTAAGATTCTTAGAACATCTTAGAACATCTTAGATCATCTTAGATCATCTTAGATCATCTTAGATCATCTTAGAACATCTTAGATCATCTTAGATCATCTTAGATCATCTTAGATCATCTTAGATCATCTTAGATCGTTGCATGTCAATGTCCAAGTTCTGGATTTTGGAAGGAAACAGAACTTGGTTTTGCAGCCGACCCGTTTTTTTCCTCGGTCTGTGCCTCGGTCACCGTTGCGGCGCCATGGCGCTGCGTCGGATACGCCAGGTCTTCGATCCAAGCCTTCGGAGCGACTTGCTGAGTGCGCGGCGAGCCCCAGATGCTGCGAGTTCCAACGCACTAAATCTGGGGAGTCCTCCAGGAGTTTCAGTCCACCCCTATCCCCTATCATATGTTTTATGATGTTTTATCCAATGAATAGCAGAATAGCAGATGAAGATTACCATTTGGTGGTGAAATGGCAGTTGACACATCTGTAAAAAACCGCAAGGTCCTGAGACAGAATGCAAGGAAACCAGCTTTTTGTCTCAGATTTCAAGTAGCCTTCGACAGATTCTAGGAGTATGTTACTTTCTTCCGCGATTTTTTATCCTTTCGAGACGCTCTAGATCAGTGCCTTCACTTGGATGCTTGCGTAAACGGCTTGGTCAGAGGTCTGCACTCGGTTTCATTGGAGATGTGGTCTGCCAAATTCTGATAGAGAAGCGACCGGCACCCAAGGACAGAATTGACTCGTGATGACTCGTGTTTTGTTGAGAGAAAGGCCCCATGAGCCTGTCATGGCTGATCTGACTCTGGCAGGAAATTGAGGATTTGAAGTGGCCTTTGCCTCAGTCTAATGTTGTGCATGAGGCTCCGACGCACGGAAGCCCTTGCTTCGTGTTTGAGGATTCATAATTGCAATATTTATCAATATTTTGCATGAAGATACCTTTCTAAAGTATAGCCTTTACAGACTTGCTTAATCTATCTCATGGTTGTTTAATGTTGTTTATCTTGTTCCACCCAGCTAAGCCAAAGTTCCGTGATGTTGCACCTTTGGCCAAGGGGGCATGAAGAGGGCAAGTTTGATGTTCGCCGGCTATGGGCGTTGACACTGTTTAGCAGTGAATCTCGACTCGGTTTCAGAGGTACGGGGTTGATGAACCAACAAAAGCGACCTCTGACCACAGGGTATAGACATAGCTGCGAAGCTGCCTTTTTGTTGTGAATTGTTCATTTCCATAGATGTATGTACATCCTTGTGCCAAGTGCCAGTACATTCCCCTACGCAGACCTCTAATTGCCAGCGTGGGGCTCAGTATGTCTGCTGCTAGGCCTACATTGGTGGCTTTCTTCATTTCCTCTATCAGTTCTATTCGCCTGCTGTATTTGCAATGTCAAAGTACATGCCGCTGGCCCTGAGACTGTGCCTTGACATTTCTTGCAGTATTTTACTTGTTTCGTTTTTCTAGCACTTGAAGAACATGTCTCACTACATTATCTACATTAGACTTATTTGGTGATGCTACTGGTGAAGAAGGAATCTCGGCTGAGTATGCCTTAAGCATCCTTAAGCACGGGTGAAAGGGGGGGGCTCATTTGTTCAGATCCCAGGCAGCTGCGTCGAGAGGATACCATGGCACATTGCTTTGCCTGTGCTTGTGTCAGTTGGATGCAAGAGGAAACATACCCAAGGAAGGGAAGACGCTGCTTACATTTGTTTACTGAGTTTACTATGTACATTTATCATTTATCTGCCATTCGTCTTCATATTTTGTGAGGTGCATTGTGCAGACTCACATGGTATGTGACCTCACATATTTTCACAACATCAACTGCACTCATACCGGGTTCTTCAAAAAAAACAGCCATCCACAAGAAACCACAGAGATACCCTGCTTACCCCCGCAACCCCCAACTTCAATGTTGTGATCGGAAGTGCCGAGCATCATCAACAGAAATGGCTGTTTTTTTTGAAGGCCGCCAAAACACAAAATTCAGAAGACAACATTGAATTGGGGGACGGGGGGGGCATGACCTCTGTGGTGTGGTACTTCATGGGATGGCTGTTTTTTTTGAAGAACCCGGACTCAGAAAAGACACAATAGGATGGACCCATGGCTGCAGACAAACGCGAGAATGACGACACTGTGTCAGAGAAAGCATCAGGATCAGTTTGGGCGGGTGTTTGTGTGTGGGTGTGTCTGTTTGCTTGCGCGGGCGCATATGTGCTAATATGGGTTGTGCTAAGTGAAATACATGCGGCGATAGTCTTCACACCTTTTTGACCTGATTCCGCAATGTCGTACATGCAGCGACAGTCTTGACACCTTTTTGACCTGATTCCGCAATGTCGTGGGGTGCACTGGCTGTCGTTCTGCGTGGGACTGCTCTATCCTGCACACCTGCCATGCAACGCACATGCAACACACATGCAACACACATGCAACACACATGCAACACGACATGCAACATGAGCTTTTGACCTGTAAATTTACAGTCAACGTGCAGGATTTGACGTTTGCAGCCCCAACTCCGGTCTTATAATGGAAAGTGTAGATTTTTGCCCCCGCGGCCACTTTGCTCGGAAATTTACAGGGAAAATGCTCGTGTTGCATGTGTGTTGCATGTGTGTTGCATGTGTGTTGCATGTGCGTTGCATTGGCAGGCCCATACAAATTGGCAGGCCCATACAAATCACACCCGTGAAGTGGGGAAGTAGAAAACAGCGTGGCAGGCGCAAGAGTTGCAGGTGGCAGGGGCGAGACTTTGGAAGCTGAGCGCCTTGGATATTACATTGTGGTGGTGGCCCGTAGCATCCACCTTTGTGGGGTTGTCGCATATTATATATATAGAATAAGCTTTGACAACCATCTTCGGTAAATTTCACAAGCTGATGGTTAGCCCTTAGCAGCCACCTTTATTGGGCTGTCACAGATTACAGAAGCGCATGCTTGGACAATGCGTAAATTTCAGAAGCTGATGTTGTCGCATCGATGTGTGTGTATGTGTGCTGATCTACATCTACATGCATATCAACAACAGTTAAAATGAACTCGGAACCAAAAAAAACTCACCGACTCAGAAAAGACACAATAGGATGGACCCATGGCTGCAGACAAACGCGAGAATGACGACACTGTGTCAGAGAAAACATCAGGATCAGTTTGGGCGGGTGTTTGTGTGTGGGTGTGTCTGTTTGCTTGCGCGGGCGCATATGTGCTAATATGGGTTGTGCTAAGTGAAATACATGCGGCGACAGTCTTCACACCTTTTTGACCTGATTCCGCAATGTCGTACATGCAGCGACAGTCTTGACACCTTTTTGACCTGATTCCGCAATGTCGTGGGGTGCACTGGCTGTCGTTCTGCGTGGGACTGCTCTATCCTGCACACCTGCCATGCAACGCACATGCAACACACATGCAACACACATGCAACACACATGCAACACACATGCAACACACATGCAACACGACATGCAACATGAGCTTTTTACCTGTAAATTTACAGTCAACGTGCAAGATTTGACGTTTGCAGCCCTAACTCCGGTCTTAGAATGGAAAGTGTAGATTTTTGCCCCCGCGGCCACTTTGCTTGGAAATTTACAGGGAAAATGCTCGTGTTGCATGTGTGTTGCATGTGTGTTGCATGTGTGTTGCATGAGTGTTGCATGTGTGTTGCATGTGCGTTGCGTTGGCAGGCCCATACAAATCACACCCGTGAAGTGGGGAAGTAGAAAACAGCGTGGCAGGCGCAAGAGTTGCAGGTGGCAGGGGCGAGACTTTGGAAGCTGAGCGCCTTGGATATTACATTGTGGTGGTGGCCCGTAGCATCCACCTTTGTGGGGGTGTCGCATATTATATATATAGAATAAGCTTTGACAACCATCTTCGGTAAATTTCACAAGCTGATGGTTAGCCCTTAGCAGCCACCTTTATTGGGCTGTCACAGATTACAGAAGCGCATGCTTGGACAATGCGTAAATTCCAGAAGCTGATGTTGTCGCATCGATGTGTGTGTATGTGTGCTGATCTACATCTACATGCATATCAACAACAGTTAAAATGAACTCGGAACCAAAAAAAAACTCACCGGACTCAGAAAAGACACAATAGGATGGACCCATGGCTGCAGACAAACGCGGGAGATGGAGAGAGAACGCGAGAATAGAATGCCCGAGAAAGGGTTGAGGGAGAAGCGAGAAGATTGAGGACGGGCGAATGCGAGCCCCTGTGTCAGAGAAAGCATCAGGATCAGTTTGGGCGGGTGTTTGTGTGTGGGTGTGTCTGTTTGCTTGCGCGGGCGCATATGTGCTAATATGGGTTGTGCTAAGTGAAATACCTGCGGAAGACATGTCTTTCAAACCTTTTGACATGATTTCGCAAGTCGTACTGCACAAGCGAGACAGTCTTAGAACCTTTTTGACCTGATTCAGCATAGGCACTGGTGGTCTGCACTGGCTGTCGTGCTGCGTGGGGAGCTGGCTCATATCCTGCACACACGTGCCAGGCAAAGCACAGTGGCAACACACGATGCAACACACCTGCACACACGAACATTGCAACACGACATGCACCCTGATCTTGACCTGGTAAATTTACAGTCAACCGTTGCCAGGATTTGACTTTGCCAGCCCCAAACTCCGGTCTTATCCTGAACCCCGTGTCAGATTTTGCCCCGCGGCCACTTGCTTGGAAATTTACCAGGGAAAAATGTCGTTTTTGATGTGGTTGCATGTGTTGTTTGGATGTTTTGTTGCATGCGTGTTGCATGATGTGTTGCATTTGGTTTGACGTTCTGCATTGGCAGGCCCATACAAATCACACCCGTGAAGTGGGGAAGTAGAAAACAGCGTGGCAGGCGCAAGAGTTGCAGGTGGCAGGGGCGAGACTTTGGAAGCTGAGCGCCTTGGATATTACATTGTGGTGGTGGCCCGTAGCATCCACCTTTGTGGGGTTGTCGCATATTATATAGAATAAGCTTTGACAACCATCTTCGGTAAATTTCACAAGCTGATGGTTAGCCCTTAGCATCCACCTTTATTGGGCTGTCACAGATTACAGAAGCGCATGCTTGGACAATGCGTAAATTTCAGAAGCTGATGTTGTCGCATCGATGTGTGTGTATGTGTGCTGATCTACATCTACATGCATATCAACAACAGTTAAAATGAACTCGGAACCAAAAAAAACTCACCGGGTTCTTCAAAAAAAACAGCCATCCACAAGAAACCACAGAGATACCCTGCTTACCCCCGCAACCCCCAACTTCAATGTTGTGATCGGAAGCGCCGAGCATCATCAACAGAAATGGCTGTTTTTTTTGAAGGCCGCCAAAACACAAAATTCAGAAGACAACATTGAATTGGGGGACGGGGGGGGCATGACCTCTGTGGTGTGGTACTTCATGGGATGGCTGTTTTTTTTGAAGAACCCGGACTCAGAAAAGACACAATAGGATGGACCCATGGCTGCAGACAAACGCGAGAATGATGACGACACTGTGTCAGAGAAAGCATCAGGATCAGTTTGGGCGGGTGTTTGTGTGTGGGTGTGTCTGTTTGCTTGCGCGGGCGCATATGTGCTAATATGGGTTGTGCTAAGTGAAATACATGCGGCGATAGTCTTCACACCTTTTTGACCTGATTCCGCAATGTCGTACATGCAGCGACAGTCTTGACACCTTTTTGACCTGATTCCGCAATGTCGTGGGGTGCACTGGCTGTCGTTCTGCGTGGGACTGCTCTATCCTGCACACCTGCCATGCAACGCACATGAAACACACATGCAACACACATGCAACACACATGCAACACGACATGCAACATGAGCTTTTGACCTGTAAATTTACAGTCAACGTGCAGGATTTGACGTTTGCAGCCCCAACTCCGGTCTTAGAATGGAAAGGGTAGATTTTTGCCCCCGCGGCCACGTTGCTTGGAAATTTACAGGGAAAATGCTCGTGTTGCATGTGTGTTGCATGTGTGTTGCATGTGTGTTGCATGATGTGGATTGTGTGTTGCATGTTGCGTGCATGCAGGCCCATACCAAATCCCCCCGTTGCGTGGAGGAAGTAGAAGAAAACAGCGGGCGGAGCAAGAGTGTCAGTGGCAGGGGCGAGCCTGAAGCTGCGGCGGCCTTGGATCATTACATTGTGGTGGTGGCCCGTAGCATCCACCTTTGTGGGGTTGTCGCATATTATATAGAATAAGCTTTGACAACCATCTTCGGTAAATTTCACAAGCTGATGGTTAGCCCTTAGCATCCACCTTTATTGGGCTGTCACAGATTACAGAAGCGCATGCTTGGACAATGCGTAAATTTCAGAAGCTGATGTTGTCGCATCGATGTGTGTGTATGTGTGCTGATCTACATCTACATGCATATCAACAACAGTTAAAATGAACTCGGAACCAAAAAAAAACTCACCGACTCAGAAAAGACGCAATAGGATGGACCCATGGCTGCAGACAAACGCGAGAATGACGACACTGTGTCAGAGAAAGCATCAGGATCAGTTTGGGCGGGTGTTTGTGTGTGGG